ACGAGGATCTCGCCGCGAGCCACATCGTTGGGGAAGTCGTCGAGCTGACACCACACAGACATACACACCATCATGGATTCTCGTGTGTCTGTGTGAGTGTCTGAGTGCGTGCGCGTGTGTCCCTCCGACTTACTCGGTATTTTCCCCAGATGTACACCTGGCCGCTGTGTGTCACTGCCACAGTGTGACATTCGCCGCAGATGACCTACGCGGAAACACGCACACAGGGATGGTGGAGGGATGGAGGCACCGATGGACACACGACGGGTGGGTGGGTGAGTGACTGCCTCAGTAAGTATGTGTGCCGGGCGGCGTGCTCACCTTGGATGCTGGAGCGGGCATCTTCGTCACCACGACTGCACACACGCAGACACACACGCACACAGACACACACACACACAGTGAATGACGAATACGCGTACATTGGCTGTGTTTGTGCGTGGTTCAGTCTTTGTCGCTCACGTGGCAGGTAGTCCAGTCCATCTCGGCCGAGGGCGTACTCGTCGCCGCTACCTGACAGAAAGAAAAAGACCGGCCAGCCAGATGCATACTCACTGCATATCGGCGTTGGCGTCTGTGTACCCCATGTGTAGATGGCGCCATGGTTGTTGAGAGCCGCGCAGTGTGTGCCGCCCGCCGAGATGTCGCGGATGCCCTTGTTGGTGAGCTCCTGACGGACACAGACACAGACACAGACAGACTGTAACAAGCCGAGTTCACGGACGGGAAAACACCGGCGCAGGTACGTACCCTGATGAGTCGGGGCTTCTTGCGGTCAACCTGCGTGTTGTAGCCGAGGGCCCCCGTCCAGGCTGCACACACAAACACAAACCGCAGTCAGTAGGCATTCCCCCTTTTCCTTTCCCTCCTTCTCTCCCTCACCAGCGCCGTGGGCATACACGTTGCCAATCGGCACACTCATCCCGATCGTCACTTCGTGACGCTCTGAGATGTTGATGACGTCGTTGATGAAGGGCGTTGACACCCCGGCCTTGCGAGGAGGGCTGGGAGGGGCGTCGTAGGCCTGGTGGCGGAACAAAGATCTTGCCGCCTTGATGACCCGCTTCTGACATACACACGCAAACCCACATCACCAATCCTTCCATATCCCTCCCCTGGAGATGACCCACCTTCAACGTCTCGAATGTGACCACTGCGGCCCCCACAGTAGCCCCGACAACGAGGGCACAGGTGGTCACGCTGGTGCGGCGTTGGTGGAGGAGGGCGATGTGGCATGTTGCGTGGACGACGGAACCGGCGCCACCGTGCACCGCGGCTTTGCCAAACACCCACCACAAGGCCTTGCACACGCAGCTCTCGATGATGCCGCCGACCATTGCTGACGTCAGGGGTGTTTCGTTGAGGGGAGACAGGCTCAAGACATGCAGGCCTGATGCGTCCAGTGCTGGATCGAGTCGGTTGAAACCAGCGTTTTGGGCAGATCTCGCAGGGCGCTAGAAGAACAGAGTGCAGGGGCAGTGATTGCGCTTCCCGGGCCGTGATTCGGGATTCGAATGATTGCGAGCTCCGTCTGGGAGCTGAGCTCGCGACCATTGCTGACGTCAGGGGTGCTTCGTTGAGGGGAGACAGGCTCAAGACATGCAGGCCTGATGCGTCCAGTGCTGGATCGAGTCGGTTGAAACCAGCGTTTTGGGCAGATCTCGCAGGGCGCTAGAAGAACAGAGTGCAGGGGCAGTGATTGCGCTTCCTGGGCCGTGATTCGGGATTCGAATGATTGCGAGCTCCGTCTGGGAGCTGAGCCCGCAAGCGGCGGAAAAAAGCTTCAAGTTCTTTTACTGGCAACGTTCTGTTAGCCTCATCGGATCACCGTATCATGACTCAGCAAGTAAGCCAAACAGCGGTCATTAGATGATGCTCTGCATGCTGTGAGACATGGTTGTGTCGTTTCAGGCCAGGCAAAGCCAACGTCCAGCTCTGGACGAGCATCTCGCAAGGCTCTTCGAGCTTCAGACCAAGGTGACGAGGAAAACGGCCTTCGCGCAGAGTCAAAATCATGGTTTTGTTTACTTGGTGGCTTCGTGCTGTGTCAGGTCGGAGAGCAGCTGGTCCATGTGCAGCAGATGGACCCAGCGGGCATTGCACGACAGGTACGCCACCCACATTCACACACACAGACACTCAGACAGACAGACAGACAGACAGACTGGCCGACCTCACAGGCTGTGTCAACGCGTGGCATGTGTTGGTTGGTGTGTCCAGACGTGTTCCTCTGTGGCCGTGGGGCTCCAACGACAACTGGCGGCCGCCATGACCGCAGCGGCCGATGCTCTGACACAAACGAGTGCGGCCTTGTCGACAGCCTCAGACCTCACCAAGACACTCGATGACCGAGTAGGCACCACAGAGGAGGGAGAGCCTCAGGGATGGCTTTCCACTATTGCTCTTGTCTGCGTGTCAATTGCGTCTCAGCGTCGTGAGAAGGAGGGCGCCTTGTTCTGCCTGGTGCGTGAGAGCGGCAAGCAGCCCACCTTTGAGGGACCAGCCGCACTCCGCATGTCGCGAGAAGAGCTGTCGCACCTCTTCGGCCACCTGCAGCCATGGGAGCTCAGCAACATCCGGCTGGCCATCGGCAACAAGGTCTTCCTGCAGGCGGCCAAGCAGTACAGACACATCGAGATCGTCAGCTCGGAGCCATCGGTCCGCCGCATGTGGAGCCGGATGCCCCTGGCGGTGGCCTTCGAGTGGGGCGCACGGATGCCACACCTCAAGACCATCGCCGTCCGCCATCCGCCGTTCCACCCCGACTGGTGCTCGTCCGTGTTGGCCGAGATGGTCGGCGGCCACGCCAAGGTGCGGATGGAGCTATACGCGACCAGGCGGGCCGAGGCGGAGAGAGAGGGCAGACAGCCACCCAAGGAGGAGGGGACGCTGGAGTCCATCAGCTTCGTCAATGCGCCACAGGATGGCAATGCTCGCTGCCTACCACCGCGGCTGCCCGCCCCGCCCGGTTTCAGCACCCCCGAGCCCACCGCCCTCCCTCCCGTGCTGCACGCCCTCACGTCGCTCAGCGGGCTGCACAACAGCCACTGTGTCGTGTTCGACACCCACAGCTGGCAGATGCCATCGCTGCGGCAGGTGCAGGGGGACCTCGTTGGTGAAATCTTCACGTGCGACTTCATCAAGACGTCCGAGTGTCTGGAGAGCCTCGATCTGGGCCGCATCAGACCAGCCAAGTGGGCCGGTATCCTCAACGGTGGGCGGTTGGCGCACTTGAAGCGAATCGGCACTGTAGCGGTGCGGGGCGATGCGACATTCGGGCGGGACCTCGACAACTTGCAGGTAGGTGCGACGAGATGGGAGGATGGGTGGGGAGAAACGTGCCTGCATGGTGGTTGTTTCGTTTGTGCTGCCCCTTGTCTGGCTGTTCATTCAGGGAGTGCTTGCTGCCGGTGGGTGCCGATCGCTGGAGTGCGTTGGGTTCTGTTTCAGCGACAGGACGACCTCATCCATCGGCGAGGACACGGTCGCCTCCCTCAACGCCATCGACCGAGTCAGGAGATCTGGGGTTACGACACGCACAGCGCGCTTCGACATGGGCCCGGTGTCGAGAGTGCACACATTCAATCTGGAGCTCCTCCGCGACTGTTCCGCCCCCTCCCTCTCATCAAGGTTCGTCAAAGACAAGATCCAGCATCTCGCCAGGCTGGCCGAGGCCGTCGTGTGGTCGCCTCCTACCGACCACCTCATCGCCCCCACGGACATCAGCGAGACGGCCAAGGAACTCGCCGCCAAGCTGCGGTTCTCGAACGCCGTCTCCCTGCGCATCTGTGCTGTGGGCGATGCCGTGGATGCCCCGGTGCCCGCTGCGTCCAGTGCGCTGTGGTCGCCGCTGACGCACCTGCCCGATGATGCGTTCCCTGAGACACTGGACGAGCTCCGGCCAATGGACCGGGTCGCTCACGAGGCCGCGCGGCAATTGTTGGCGGCAGGGAAGATCAAGGGCGTTTCGAGCATCGTTCGGTCCTTCGCGCAGGAGCATGTGCCGGCGAGTGATGTTGGCGCGCTGTTGCACGTGATCGGCGGGGAGAAGTCGATGGAGAAGGTGGACGTCAAGGTCAGCGGGGAAGGGGGAAGGTTGCCGTGGGGCGACAGCCCTGAGGCCGTCCCCCGCATTGAACAGATGTCCGTCTTCCTTACCGGTGAGTCGAGTAAGCACACTGACGCACATTCCACATGTGACCTCCTCCGTCCCTACCTGTGCGTGTGTCTGTGTGCAGTGCCGGATGTGGCGACTGCCGCCCTTTTTGTGCACGCGAGCCTGGCATCGTGTCTCAAGATCCGCGGCCTGAAGCAGCTGGGCCTGAGGGTCTTCGGCCATGCGGATGCGGCGGATAGGGCTCATTTCGCAGATCGCATGGCGGCGCTGTTCCCCACACGCACGATGAGCTGTTTCCGCATCGCGTGGGACATCACGACGTGGGAAAGGAGTGTGCAGGTGACGGCTCAGCGCGGGACGGCTGGAGGTAAGTGAGAAGCGGGTGTTCGGCCATTCCCGCCAGTCTCCCTGTATGTCTGTGTGCGTCAGGTTGACCTGATTGAAGAGGATGGTGCTGCTCACTCCTTGTGTAATGGTGATGCTGTTGTGTATTCATTGCATTGTAGTGGCGAATCCTACCTGGTGGGTGGGGTGTAACGTGTTGTGCGTGCAAGGACGCTTTGCTTACACGTAACGAGTTCTACTGAATTTGATGACATCCGCCCAGCATGCACACACATCATGAGCCATTGACACCCATCGATATGTCTGCAGAGCTGGCTAAGCACTAGTGCGGCATACGCAGGTCCAACAGCTGTAGGCCCCACCACTCACCCTTTTCCAGAACAGCGTACCCCTCCCCCTCTGCCTGCTTGATGCACTGCCGGAGAATCGCGGGCACGTCAAGAATGACCTTTGCAGGCCGAACACCGGCAATCAGTGGCATGCACGACTGGATCTCACGCGTCGTGGTGCAGCTCTTCAGCTGAAGAGCCAGCGACACGACGCGAGGAGACCGACTGCGGCCATCCATGCCATTCACTGCCACCACACACTTCATCTGGACGCTAGAAAACAGGGAGAGAGGTGCAAGGCCAGTGAGGGCACCCAGCAAAGCCTGCAGGCTGCCCGGGCCGTTCACTGTCTCGCACACCTCCTCCCACCTAGAGTCCCTTATGCGCTCATCCTCACTATCGCGGGACAGAGTTCCGCTGCTGGACGCCTCCAGCTCCCTGACCTTGGGCAGATGGCGATTGCCACCGCTGTCGTCGTGTACGGTCGTCAGGAATGGGGGCACACTCGACAGAGCCTCGGGCGACGACACGCCAGTGACGGTCAGCTTGGTGGCACTGGAGAACACCAGCAGTCTTGCCCACGACTGGTCCAGGGCCTTGCCACCGCACATCAGAACTACCTGCACGCACAGACAAAGGCGCTGGATGCCTTGTGTGCTGGTATGTGTGTCGGCCTCAGGCAGTTACCTCCTTGGCAGAGTTGGCCAGCGACCGCACCAGGTTGGCCATGGCGCCTGTGGGTGCAGGAGTGCTCCTGACGAGGTCCTTGGAGCAGTCGATGGTCAGGATGCGGGCCGTCCACTCGATCTTGCAACCCGCCGCAGCTGCACACATGGTAGGGACATTCGACAGAAAGCGGCAGGGACGATTGACAGACGTACCTGCCCACTCGAGGAAGGCGGGGAGGCCGACCAAATCGGGGCTTCGGCGGTGCATCAGGTCATGCTCGAAAGGCACAGCAATTTTATCACTCAACTCAATGCCAAGCCGCTTCTCGACACCTGCATGCGCAGCAGAGAGCACACAACTGGTTTAGGTCGCTCGCCCTTTGTGGTTTTCGTCACCTCCCCTTTTGCACTGACCTTTCATACTTGGTAGTGACCATGTTGGCTCCAGTTGTAGTTTCAGGTCGGTCAGCAGCGACACGGCATCCTCGACACTCTCGCCCAAGCGCACCCACTTGATGTCGACGAGCTCCGGGCACCACCTCAGAGCGGCCACAACCTCCGTCACCCAGAACCGGAAAGGTGCCATAACTACACACACACACACACACGCGGAGTCGAAGGCAAATTTGATTGTACGCCTCGTTAACTCACCGAGTGTCCTGAGTTTCCGGGCGCGCCTCATGACGCCTTTGACGTCATCGTCTATCGCGTTGCTAAACTCCACGCTACGCAAGCTAGGAAACCGCCACTTGCGAAACCTGCCCACAACCCAACAACGACCATACGGAGGGGCGTCTCGTGCAGAGTGGCGGCAGCTGGCACACCTGCGTCCTGTCGGCCAATAATCCAGGTAGAGCCCCTCCATCTGTGAGAACACCACCTCAACGTCGTTCCGCCGCGCGCCGCCAAACTCGTCGTCGTCAAACAGGTCGCTGCTACCGCGTGTGGGCCCCTCCTCAGTCAACCGCATGTGCCGGATGGTGCCGCGCGACGCCTCTACGCACTCGTGGGGAAATTTGTGGTCCTCGAAGCCGGTGATGTGAACCGTCCTCAGGCCGCTCTGAATAAAGGCGATAAGAGCATCAGTCAGGCACACAGCCATGTGTTGGGTGAGGGTTGGTTTTGTCCCCTGACATCCACCCGAACTCACCAGTGACTGCTTCACTTTGTTAAGGCCCTCCTCTATGGCCCGTTCCTGGGAGCTGCTCCTCCTGGGTCGCGTGGGAGTGACATAGCCGTAAATGTGGTCTATGTAGGGGGCAGGCGGGGCTGGCGCTGAGTCGCCCTCGATGTTCTTGCGAATGCCCTGACGCCAGAAGTCGCGCTCATCTTTGCCGATGACCAGGTGCTTGTAGATGCCGTTGGTCTCGTCACTGATTTGCTGCCTCATCGACCGGTTGACGCGCGAGAGGGGGACGGCATCCTTCATGGGCAGATGGCCCAATACGATGTGAGTCACGTCGGGCGGCAGGCCGTCCAGACATGGGCGGCCCGTGTACGGCTGACCAGTCAATGGAAGATTCAGACAGACACGGCGAACGAACACATGAAGATGTGATGTTTCCACAACACGCTCGTTTGCGTTGCTTGCCTTCGTTGATCTGGCGTGAGCTGGGAGGGCTTTGTTGCCGATGGGCTGTGGGAGGGGCGGCTTGGCGACCTTCACGGCGGTGAGCATGCCGATGAGGCTCCTCACACTGCTGTAACGCCAGGAGACCGACTCCTCCAATGCCCGCAGCTTGCCGCTGATCCCCGGCAACTAACACAGACAGACAGACAGACAGACAGACAGACAACAGAGATCAGGAGAGATCTGTGCGCTGCGTCCAGTTGCCCTCAAACATACCGAATCAGCAATCTGTGAAGTCAGGTTGGGCCGCACGTCCAACAAGACATCTGCTACTTGAGCTTCAAGCTGCTTGATGCTCTGCAGCTGGGAGATCAGACAACCAAGAGCCTCCCTGTCCTCCTGCAGGAACGATACACAACCCACATGCAGTCACCCTCCCTCCGTCACCAAATTTGGCCTCTGTGTGGCTCACCCATTCGATGGTTGGCTGCTGGCTGGCCGAAGAAGATGCGCCCACCGACCCACCAGCACCTGGAGAGCGGCAAACATCCATTGGCGAGAGGGGGGGCCGACCTGTGCGTGTCGTCGTGTGCTTCCTCACCTTCACTAGCGGCAGCCGCAGCAGGAGGGGCGTCTGCACGAGCCCTCTTCTCACTCTTCTGCATCTCTACGCCTCACTTGGCCAAATTTGGTCCGTTTCCAGGTCAGGTCGATCGGCGAGTCCAGGGGGTTGTTTCCATTGCTTCTGTGGCGATTCACGCACCAGAGTCCACGCACAAGACAAGCATCAAAATGTCAGCTCAACCAGAGGAACTAACTACACACAACAGCCGGCAAAAACGACCCTGCCTGCTTGCCGCTTGTACTCACGGCCTGGCTACTCCCATTCGGAAAACACAGCGTATAGGTCCATGCATGGCATGCCTCTCTCTCTCTGATGTCAGTCGAGGAATATCTTGCCGGGGTTGAGGATGTTGTTGGGGTCGAGTGTCTTCTTGATGCTTCGCATCACCTCCAGCGTCTCCTGCGGATAATGCTGCAGCAAATACTGCTTCTTGCCCATGCCGACGCCATGCTCACCTGCAACAAATACAACAAGCCCGAGGCACCCATATCGGATTTTTTCGATGTCCAGTGGTCCGTGTCGCGACGTGCCAGTGCATGTGCCGCCGGCAGCAATGGCCCTGGCGATCATTCGGGAGTTGGCCTCCTGGGCACGCTGATCAACCGACGGATGGTGGGGCACAACAACAACACACAAGTGGATGTGATGCCCGTGAGGCTGAGCTGGTCGCTGTGTGCTGCCCTCACCTTCATTTGCTCAGGGTCGGAGAAGTCCAGGGGGATCAGCAGGTGGAAGTTGCCATCGCCAGCATGAGCTGCATGAGGCAGGCACATTTAAAGTCACCACATACCGATACGATCTAAATGATCAGGGTCACCAGCCTTTCTCTCACCGATCAAGGGTGCCTCGACGCCAAGCTCGGCAAAGTCCTTCTGCGTCTCTTCGACCACGTCGGGAAGCCGGCCAAGTGGGACACACACGTCAGTGCCCCAGAGCTCCTTCCCCGGCCTCTGGCTGCCCAAACTCCAGTACACGCCCTTCCTCGCCGCCCACAGCTTCTCGCTCTCGCCATTCTCCTTCATGCGAAACACAAGCCGACTCCCGCCGAACCGACTCGCCATCTGCATCCACTCACGCATACAAGGGAGACGCGTGGGATTGCGGTCTGGTTATCTGCCTCTTCTGCTGACCTTCTGTGTGGTTTCGATGCACTCTTGTACCTGGTTGGACGTGCCGGTGAACTTGAAGAAGATGGTCGGCTTGACCTCCAGCCCGCAGTCCTGGTCATCGTTGAGCAGCTTGGCGGTGTCCGCGGACAGCAGCTCCACACAAGCCACCTGAATAGGAGACACACGAGCACATCAGCTCGGTGTGCGAGGTGGAGGTGGAGGTGGAGGTGGATGGGGTGGGTATGCTCACCGGTATCCCTGCCTTGATGAGACTGCTGACACACTTGCACGCATCCTTGACAGTTGGGAAGCCACACACCGCCACGCACTCGTCTGCTGGACGAGCGGCGAGCTTCAGCGTCGCCTCGGTCACGATGCCTGCGTACACACATACAGACACGTACACTCGTGTCGATCAGGCAGGGATGCGCAAAACTATGATTGGATGCTTTTGTGCTCTCGACTGCTCACCGAGTGTCCCCTCACTGCCGACAAACAGCCTCGTGAGGTCGTACCCAGCACTGTCCTTCCTCGCCCTTGTACCCGTCTTGACGACCCTCCCATCCGCCAACACCACCGTAAGCTGCAGCACCCAATCCTTCATCGTCCCGTAGCGAACTGCGTTGGTGCCGCTGCATCGGGTGCCGATCATCCCACCTGCACACATGGATGGGATGGCACGCGCATCACATCGATGGAACCACCAAGACAGGAAGCCAAGGGAGGGATCGCGGGGCGTCTTGGGCAGGCAATTGTGTGTGTCGGTGACCGACCTTACCGATGCTAGCTCCTGGACCAGGGTCGATCGGGAAGAAGAGGCCGGTGTCTGCGAGTAGCTCGTTGAGTTCCATCCACTGTACACCCGCCTGCACGACGACGTCACAGTCGTCCTCGTGCACGGCCACAATCTCGCTCATGTTCATCATGTTGATGACCACACCAGCTGACGAACGAACAAGACAAGAACGGGGTGAGAATGGTCACATGTGCGACCGTTTGTGTGAGGCTGCTTACGGATGACGGGCACGGTGTGGCCTTCTATGGATGTGCCGCAGCCGTAGGCCACCACAGGGATCCTCAGGCGGTTGCAGCGGGATAGAATCGCACTCACCTCCTCGGTGCTCTCTGACACAACCACACACGAAGAGTGTGATGCCAGTCCCACTCACGCCCAGCCATCCGGCGCTTCTTTCTCACCTGGATAGACCACGATATAGGGGACCTCCCCCTTGTGATAGGTCCAATTGTCTTTTCTATACGGCTCCCGCTCGTCCATATCCACACTGGCTCGGTCACCCAGTACACCCCTCAACTCACTGTACAGCTTCTGCATCGCCTCAGGGAAGTCATCCACATGGCGAGGCACCTCGTACTTGCCGCCCTCGACCAGCGGGCTATCGCTCTCGCCCTCCTTGACAGAAGTTGTGAGTGAGAGCGATGGCGCATCCGTGGCCCTCGGTGCCGGCGAGTCCTTCAGAGCAGCAGCAGCTGGCTCATCGACGCTCTCCGCGTGGCCAGGCCGCCGTCTTCCCCTGGATGAGACCAACTCATAGGCGATGAGGGAGCCGGCAGCCACGACCAATAGGTGGGCCAGTCCATGTGGCTGGTGCTGATTGCTGTGCGGTGCAGAGGGATAGACGCAGATGGGAGGCCGGGCCGACGAAGCTGGAGCTGCTTGAATTGCTGTTTGGTGCCTGGTGAAGACGGGCAGAGCCTTTGCCGCCTGCTGCAACGTCCGCCTCATCACCGGAAGCTCTCAATAAGCCAAGGAAAAGGTGGCACTACAATTAATCCACTCTCACATTAATCCACAATCCCGCAACCCATACTGACGAGGCTCGCAAAGGTGAAGGGTTCGGAACCCTGCAGACCTTTCTCTCCCCCTGACAGCCATGTGGGTGGATGGATGGATGGGTGGGTGGGAGGGTGGGAACCGTGTGGATGCAATGGATGTCGGAATGCCCTGTGTTTGGAGAGACACTGACTTTGATTGAGCAAATGGTTGTGGGTGGGTCAAGCAACACACTAGCGTCTCCATCTGTCTGTCTGTCTGTTGGTCTCACAAATGCACTCGGTCCTTCAACCAGCCACTGTACAATCGACCGTCATGCAGTACACCCACCCCCTCCCTGCCACCCATCGACACGCACACACCATGGCGGTGGTCGGCCCTCTCTCTACCGACTACACATACACATCGCCACGGATTGCCATGCCGTTGCCATGCCATCCACCTCGCTCAAACCGTTAGCCATCTCATCCACTGCCATCCCAGCCACCGCCATCCCAGCCCAGCAGTCGTGTCAGTGTGTCGGGGGAGCCCGCCTGTCTGCCGCTGAATGCTCGTGTGGACGTGATGCCCGGCCCCACTATGCTCTGACATGTGGACAGGGACAGTTGGCCTTTGAACCGTCCTGGCTCGCTGCTTATCCAGCCCATCGCGGCCGCATCTGCCCGAGAAATCGCCTGCGTATCTTCCAGGGCCGATTGGTGGAGCTCTACGAGCACAGTGCCTATGTCTGCACGTGTACGCGGTTAGATGTGTCCTTGTCTGTACGTGTGTGTGGTATGTATAGGCCTCGAGTCCTTGAAGCTGCCCATTCTGTTGATCTCGATAGTAATTTGCGTCGATAGTCATTTGTGTCTTCAGTGTGGTGCATGGATGGCTGTACTGACGGCCGGCGGTAGATCGATTAATTGGCGAGGGACAGGGGGAGAGGGATACTCGTGTGTAAGCAGTGAGTAAATGTCGCTCCCTGGATGACCTCTCTGTCATGCAGGCTGGTCGTGGTTAGTGGGGTGGTCTGTGCGCAAGTCGGCTGCATGTGGTGCGCCCGGCCGAATGGGATGGACTCATCCGTGGACGTGTGTGTGCAGACAGACAGACAGACAGACAGGTGCATGCGATCGAGTGAAATCCATCCGTGACAGAGAAGGCAGAGGCACAGGCAGCACGAATCATTCACAGCTAAATCCGCATGTACTACAGTCAGCAAAATACGCACACGACACTGCCAGCACGCCACATACAAGGCCCTGTCTTCAACACATGCAGCCTGCCGATGTGCCTGCGCCAAATCCATCAACATACAGAAAAGCATAAGCACACACGCGCATCAATCCGTGGAGTAATCCGTGGAAATGCGCTCCCGTCTGCCCTCTTGGCCCGTTTCGTGTCCGTCATGGTAAGCAGGGTGTCGTCAGGGACAAATACGCATTCATCAAGGCTGCGGTGGGCGATAAGCGCAACAGCTGCAACGCGTACTGCAGGAAGATCAATGTCAAGAATCCCTCAAGGAGATCTGGAAGCTGGACCAGAGCACCGCCCCCGCCGCCAAGTTCCGCGGCGGCAAGGACGAGTTCGCCGCCCTGGGCGTCCATGCCCTCTTCTCTCATCTTGGCGGCTACGGACAGGGCTGGGACACACACAGCAAGTTGGCAGAGTTCGACAGCTTCAACAGCTTCGCGACACGCGAGACGTTCCGCCAGCTGGTCGACATAATGTGTGAGGAGGCGTCCGATTCGACACATCCGAGATAACACAGACAGACAGACAGACAGACAAAGATGGGTGCTCTGAGGGGGCTGGCTTTAGGCAAATGTGGTCATCGGTTGATGACTGGTGAGGCGGCACACAGCACAGCACAGCAGAGCACGGCACTGCACGTGTGTGCGTGTCTTTTCCGATTTGGGTGTCTGCGTGTCTGTGTGGCTGGCTGCCCGGAGCTTGAGTAGAGGAGGCCGTCGAGGCGGCCTCGGTTTTTCGTGTGTGCAGAGCTATGACGTGATGTGGTGTGTCTGTCTGAATGTATCTGAAGGGGTTCCATGTCCGTACTGCTGATGCTTTTGGAAGTCGAGACAGACATCTTATATGCGTGTGGAACAAGACAGACGAGTTGTTTCAATCTGAGGGTCAGACTTTGCGATCAGTCGCTGTCTATACGATAGCATGCAACAGACGCACCGCACAGACAACCACAGCACACGGGGGCAGACGGCGTCTGTTTCTGAGATGACATGGGACCGTCCATCATCCAGTGAGGATAACAGCACCCATCTCCACCCACATGAAGCGGCCCGCCCCTCTCTGCTGAGTCTGCTCCACCAACACACACACGCACACCGAAACACAGGGAGAGACACGACGCTCACTCAGGCAGCCGCAGCCTCTTTCGTGGCCTTGTCTCCCTTGCTGTCCTTGCTGTCCTTGGTGGCCTTGCTGCCTGTCTGCCTCTTGTTCTTCTTGTTGGTGTGTGTGTTGGGTCGCAGCACGATGGTCTTGCCCTCGCCATGCGACACAGTGAACCTCTTCTGGCCTGCCTCGCGAAACACACCCACCAGACCGAACTTGGGCCTGGGCGAAAAGGGCGACACCACAATGCCCTTCAACTTAGGAAAACTCGCAAAGGCCGCAGCGGCCGCCTCAGCCAACGAGCGAAACATGGCCTTGGCCTCACTCTCACTCAAACGCTCTCGAGGTCGACATGCCTGCATGCTCATGTCGACCTCGAGAGCAGCCAGACGGCCGGCCATCACCTGCCTGCCTGCCTCACCCTCACCACCGTACAACTGCCACTGCACTGAGTGATGCACTTGGCCTGGCTGCACACCGAACATGGGATAAAGGGAAATGGTGGCCTTGATGGTCACGGCGAGGTCGCTGCCGGCAGCTGGCAAGAACGCACAGCCAGCAGGCACGAGACACAGCGTAGCATCGGGGTCAGCACGGGCAGACAGATCAAACTGCACATGGTCGGCCGACGTCAGACCCGACAGCACATCACCCACACCACGCCAATAGAATGCAACATCACGCCCCCCATCCTTCAACACGACAGACTCGACATGCGGGAACATCGACCCGCTGTTCTGACGGATGTAGGCAGGCAGATGAAGCACCGGCATATTGGCAGACCACCCCGACTCGATATTGAGCACACGCACAGACGAGAAGACGACCGAGCCGAGCTGGGGGTTGCCCTTGCCGTAGTTGCCCTGATTGCCGTGTGACTGCAGGGTGACGTGCTTGGCCTGCTGGCAGCAGACCCTGACAGTCTCGATGAGGGCCGTGAGATTGATGGTCCTGCCTTGGAAGGGCAGGCGCACTCTCAGTCCCTCGGGCGGGCCGTGGGCGGGGGCGTGGTTGTAGGTCTCGCTCGCCCCGTCGGCCAAACACGATGTGCGAAACGAATGCAGCTCCTGGAGCAACGACAACGCAAAAACACAAAGGGACAGAGGCGACTGCACCTGGTGTGTGGTGCCATGCATCGAGTGTCTGGCTGAAAGGCCCACCTGGAAGATGTCTTGTCCTTTGATCTCAGGCAGGGCGAGCTCGACCTTGTGCAGGCGGCTCGCGGAGCGGGTGTTGAACAGGCCCTTGAATCGGCCGGTAGCCTCGCTATTGTAGGTGTAGGAGTAGGGATGGTCTGGGATGGCGATGCGGCCGGTCAGGCTGGTGAGACTCTTGACTGATGGGAACAAGGCGTAACGGACAAGGCCAGTGTGAATGCCTTGTTCCCATCAGTGTGTGGTGTCTGTCTCTGGTGTAATACCCACCAGTCCTGTCACCGGTCTTCCTGCGAAACTTGCAGCGGATGGTGTCTCTGATCTGGTCGAGGCGCACCATGTGGTCACAGTTGGGGTCATTCTGCATGGAAAAATGAAACATCGCATGGCGAATGCAGGCAGCCCGATTCTCTGCCCTTTGTTTCCCTCACCGGATCGTAGCTGAAGTGGAGCGATGACAGGCCAGGCGCCGCGTCGTTGTGCAGCCATCCGTTCACCGTCCCATACCCCGTGTTGTCGAGATCCACCACACTCAGATGTCGCAGTGCCGGCAGCCGATACCTGCGACCGCTCGTGACGTTGCCCCACACGTTGTTGACCGCCGCCGTGTGGAGCTCGGGGAAGGAGAGGGTGTTGCTGTTCCACTCAAGGTTGATGTCCTCGTAGTCGTTCTTGCGTGCCTGCCGGACCTTGCGTGACCTGCCCTTGCTGTCCTTGGGTTGCTGGGCGGGGCCCTGCAGCTTGACCGTCTCGATGTGGGGTGCGAACTGCTCGAGCAGCCGGACGAGGGTGCGAGTGGGGCGGTGGTACACAGCCAAGTGACGACACTCAGACAAACGACCTGAAAAGCACAGAAACAAGGACGGAATGACACGGACAGACGAAAGTGTGTGTGGTCTGCTCTACGTCACCTGGTAGTTTGTTAGCGATGTGTTCGGGTGGGTCGGTGTGGATGTCGAGTATGGGGTGGGCGGGGGCCTGTTGGCTGAGGGTGTGGAAATGGGTGCAGACGGGGGCGAGCGAGGTCATGAAGGTGTGGAAGCCGAGGTATGCGCCGAGCCCCATGCCCTCCTCGGTCGTCATCCACAGCGCCTCAGGCAACTCCTCCAAAGCAGAGCGCAACTGATGACATACGCCACACACACACACACACACACACAGCGGAAATGGGGAACAGTGAATGGTGTGGACACCATCTCCCTCCCCAGCCTCTCTCTCTTTGTGTGCCTGTGGTGGGACTGACCTCCTCTTTGTCCAGATTGTTCATTGTGTGTTGTATGGCGTCGAGTTTCTTGTTGCATGCTTCCATCTGCTCGGCCGCCGTCTCGTCAGCGTTGCGCACCTGCATCTTGGTGTCCTTCATCACCATCGCCTTCCACACGCGGAAGTGACGCTCAACCTCCTGCAACATACCACAAAGGCAGGCATGGCACATCCATGGATCTGTGTGGTGTGATGGTTGTGTGTGTGTGTGTCGTTGCCCACGCACCTGTATGCGATTCTGTTTGGTCTGTGTGTCGGGTTCGGGAATGGCCATCTTGACATCCAACACTTGCTCAGCCTGAACGAGTGAGTGGACAACGAATCAATGAATCAACACATCACACAAAGACACATTCATCGGCATCTCATCTGCTCTCTCATCCCTCCCTGACTCTCTTGCTTTTGACTGCACCCACGTGTGTACCCTTGCTTTGGCTTCGTTGGTCATGTTGAGTTGCGCCTTTAGCTTCTGAGCCACCCTGGACAGAGCCTTCAACGCATCAACGGGACCGACCTCAAACGCATCCTGCACACACACATGGGTGACGTCATGGGTGGGTGATACAACACACAAACACACAAGTCAGCAGTCCATCTCGCTCCTTCCCACACCTCTCCCTTTGTGTGTGGTCACACATACCTCCATGTCCACGTCAGGTGTCAGCGCCTTAGTCTTCTTGGCCCGCTTCTCGCCCTTCTTGCCCACCTCATCCTTCCCTCCCTTGCCCTTGACGGTCTTGTTGCCCACGCGGCGCGCCTTGCTCTTCTTCTTGATGCCGCACACCTTCTCCCAGTCACTGCACGAGTCGTTGCTGCTCTCACACGACGCCATCGGCTCATCCACGGCCTTGCGCTTCATCGGCACAGCAGCCGCAGCAGATGCAGCGGCCTTAATGGCGGTCTGGCGCTTCGGGCGGGCAGGACGGGCGTCGGTCTCCATCAGGGGCGGGGCGAAAGAGAGAACGAGAGCAACCAACACGGGGGATCGGGCGAGAAGGAGAGAACGAGAGAGAGTTCAGCAGCCAGGCGAAGGGGAAGAGCGATGGATGTAAATCACCGGATCCTGGCCGCTGAGATATTCTTTGCATTGGGTTAAAAGCTGAGGTTGTTTGTTCCCGCCGTGCCTTGCGTTCGGCAGATCTGCCATTCGCTCCCTCCCTCTAACCATGGATGCAGGTGAGGGTGAGGACGACCATCGCATGACGGCCCGGCAGCTGGCCTTGCTCAAGGCGAGCGGCGGGCAGAAGCGCAAACCCATCATGGACGTCGACACCAGCAGCAGTGACGAGGAGGGCTCGGACTATGCCAAGGGGAGGGCGGCGCAGGAAGGCCGGCAAGAAGAGGCAGCGGGGGGATAAGAAGGGTAAGGGTAAGGGCGATAAGAAGGGCGGCGGGAGGGATAAGATGGAGGTGTCGGACGGCGACGAGGAGATGGAGGTGAGCACTGAGGGATGCAGAGGGCTGCTGAGGCTGGTGGTGGGTGCATTTCCGTGTGTTTCGTGGTTTGGCTTCATTACTTTATGCAGGATGTGGTTGAGGTTGGTCCTGAGGACGCGTTGAAGGCTTTGAAGAAGATGACGGCGAAGTTCGAAGCGCAGCTCAAGCAGGCCAAACAGGCCGAAGAGGAGGTACCTCGTCGAACAGACAGGCTGGCGGAACGGGGAAGGTGCACGTGTGTTGTGGTGATGGAATGTGTGTGTGACACTGTGTGTTGATGCCATCATGCAGGCTCGTGAGGTGTATGAGTTGAGGAAGGCCGCCCCTGATGCCGAATCGCTCCAACACCAACACCGCATGTCGGTGAGTGGGTGGGTCAGGGCCAACACCATGCACACCAAGCGACATCAACACAGACAGCCTCTCCTTGTATGTGTGTGTTGTTGTTCACATTCAGGAGGTGGATCGTCAGATTCGCGTGTGGTCGAGCATGGTATATGCCGACGCCAACACGCAAATCAGCCACGTGGACAAGGTCGCTACCAGGCAGATGAAGGAGAACATCCGCAAACTCGACGCCATCCGACACAGACTTAACGAAATCGACGAAGACGACACCGAGCAGGTCAACACAACACAACACAACACAACACAACACACAGAAGGAGGGAATCCATTTCCATTTCCCTCTATTTTGTGGTCTCTTTCCCTCAGGTCACATCGCCGCTTGAAGGTCTGCCTGACGCCCTGTGGATGGCCGACGGTGTGGGTATGGGCGCCATGTTGGGCTTCGTGTCGTGCCTGGAGTCGCTGGCGAGCATCAACACCTTCTTCCACCACCTCACCCAGCAGGCCAGCATGCACCCCATCGTCGAGCTGGACGACTCACCCAAAATGAAAATCGCTAGGAAATGGACGGCCGGTGAGGAGAGGGGGAAGCCGACACCTCTGTGTGTGCGACCATTTGTGGTGTTTTGTTGTGATCAGGTCCGTTGTCAGAGTGTGTTGACGTGCGCATCTACCACCGGCCCACCAAGTCGCTGGTGTACCTGCTGGAGCGCCTCTCGACCACCGTCGAGAGTGTGGACCTGCAGTGCCCCTACGAGCATCCCATCTACAGGAATGGCCAGCGTGCGACAGAGCCACAGGTGCAGTACTTCGTGGAGCGAGACATGCGTCAGAGGAAGGGCGACTTCCAGAAGGTTGACCTGCCACACAACAAGGTGAGGGGCGCTGACAAGACACAGAGGCCTCCTTCCACTCATCATTGTTATGTCTCCCTCTCGTGTATGCGGCAGAGGCCGATTGTGTTTGAGCGTGTGGAGTCAGCCAGTGTTGGCAATGTGTGGATGAAGGTGGCAGAGGACCGCATGTACCAGATGCCGTCACTGCAGGGCCTCAGTGTGGTGGACGTCACCATGGCTGGGGCTCATCGATGGATCCGCGAGGCTGATGGGGGCATCAAATCGCTGCACATCATCTGCGACAAGGTGAGGAGGCCACTCAGAGAGGGAAATGGGCAGCGTGTGGTTGATGAACGACTGATCCCATGTTGCTACTTTGCTTCCAGGAGAACCCGAGCTGCCGAGGTGCCGCTGCGAGTCTCGACCAAGTGGCAAACGCCCTCGTGGACACCCCTTCAGGTAATGAGAATATAATCCACGCCCCCGGGAGAGTGTGACGTCCCTGTCCTTGCCCTTGTGTGTATGTGTCAGCTAAGAGCCTCACGTCGCTGACTGGCCGCATCGCGTTCTTCGACTACACCCACAATGGCTTCATCAACTTGGTGGGCTCGACGGGCGACGGGGCAGGCCCCCTGGAGGAGTTCGAGATGGCCATCGGAGAGATCCAAAACACAGACGACATAAAGGTGGGGAAGAAAGACCGACACTTTCCGCATCCATGGCCATCCCCCGACCCTTTCGTCTCCGTGTTCGTCGGCAGAATCTGCATCGTTTTCGCACCAAGTGCCTGGCCCCTGACGCCCGTGAGGACTACTTCGGCTGCATCGAAGACGGCGAGCTGCAGGGCGGCCCCACCGTCCATCTGCCCTTCAGAGGCAACGAGAAGACCCTCACGGACTCCCTCGCCACAGTGGAGGTGTGCTGCCGGCAGGCCGAGAAGGTGACCCTCCGCAGCCACGCGAGTGCCAGCACCATCGAAGAGGCCCCCGGGCTGGACTCGCTGGTGTGTGATCTCGCCCACGAACTCACCATCACACCTTCCTTCGTCGGCGACCAGCAGCTCCCTTCCTTCATCACAGACCACCCACCGAGTGTGTCATCTGTCGTGGTTGAGCAGAGAGGGGAGGGCAGGGATGTGTATGATGGTGGGGCGGGCAATGTGCTGCATGCCCTCTCCCCCCACCTAGAGAAGGTGCGTTTTGAGTTGTCTGCCCACGCGAATCCTCAGGCCAGATGCACACTGGTGCCTGATGGCCTTGAGTTCGTGTCGAGTGAAGGCAAGGACTTAGCAGTACAGCTGAAGTATGACATCACATGCAATCGATATGGATACGACGATGACAGCGATTCTCCCATCCACCGCAACGTGTCTATCGGTTGGGAAGTGTATGGGGGAGAAGAGGCAGTCAGAGAGGTCATGGAGAGTGGCCGTGTCTCGTCAATCGATCTGCACATCAAGGGTCATTTCAACACTACAGAGTCGCGCAAGTTGTACGGTTCATTCGCCGAGTGTGTTCTTGAGGCCTTTTCCCGCTTCCCCACACTCAGCAGTGTAGCAGTGTCTGGCGAGCACAGGTCTAGCTCTCTGGTCACGATGTTGAGGCAGGGAGCTAAGGAGAGGTGTCGCGTGACAGAGAGGACAGACGGCACGATAGTGCTGCGACCCAGCCAGCCCAGACAGAGACAGAAGATAGAGGGGGGAGAGGAAGAGGGATACGGGCACGGCGAGACAGATACCGTCATAAAGAAAGAGGAGGAGTAGACCCACACAATACACTCACTGCATGGCACTACACAACTGTCTCGAGGGGAAGGAGGAGTGGAGGTGTGCAAGCGTGCATGTGCGTTAGAGATTGCTTTGTTTGCTCGGCTCACGGATGGCGTGGAAGGCCTGCCTGCCTGGGTGTGGGGTCACTGTGTGAGAGTGCTGCCAACACTAGGCTCTCGATAACACATGTGGCCGTCACTTCCTGCAGGCTTTTCTCTGCCCCTGACAGCCATGTGGATGGATGGATGGATGGATGGATGGGAACCGTGTGGATGCAGTGGATGTCGGAATGTCCTGTGTTTGGAGAGACACTGACTGACTTTGATTGAGCAAATGGTTGTGGGTGGGTCAAGCAACACACTAGCGTCTCCATCTGTCTGTCTGTCTGTTCGTCTCACAAATGCACTCGGTCCTTCAACCAGCCACTGTACAATCGACCGTCATGCAGTACACCCACCCCCTCCCTGCCACCCATCGACACGCACACACCATGGCGGTGGTCGGCCCTCTCTCTACCGACTACACATACACATCGCCACGGATTGCCATGCCGTTGCCATGCCATCCACCTCGCTCAAACCGTTAGCCATCCGAACCATGGGGCATCCCCCACACGCTCACTCAGTCAGATGCTCCTCGATCCATCGACCGAAAAGAGCGATTCGCCATCCTGGTTATGCATCTCCTCAGCAGCAGCTACTTCTGTAGCTACAGCCCCGTCCCCACTCCCACCGATATCCCCACCCACCCCGCCACCGTCGGGCTTGCCCTCCTCCGCCATGGCCGCCATCGCCTCCTCACCCCCTCCCCCTTGGCGGCACTCCTCCCCCTGGCTCTCTGCTGGGGGCTTTGGCGGCTCGTCGGGCGGAAACAATGGTGGCGGAGGGGGGAATGGACGGGCAGTGGCAGCAGCAGCAGGAGGAGGAGCAGCAGCAGCCGACGAAGACGGCTGGTGCTGGTGGGGGGGATGGTGGTCGCCCACTTTCTGCCTCTTGGCGTCGCCGGGTCTGTGTGGTTGGTGCTGGTGGTGTGGTCTGAGTGTGTTGGGGATGCCGCGTCTTCTCTGGTAGAAGAACTCGCATGCGGGGCGGACGCCGGGTGGCGGTGGGTGGGCGAACTTGGGGCCGAAGTTCAGCCGCACCGATGCGCCCATGTACAGCGACACCACGGGGTAGTACTTGCCCTCGTTGAGCCCCGTGAACGCTGAGCCGTACCTGAATCATCGTTTGACACACACATGACATGTATGCGACACAGGGAGGGGAGGGAGGAGGCCATTACATTAACTACTAGGGGGTATTCTCTGTGCCGAGCGTGGGGGCTTATGTATCGGTACGCACCCTTTGCCGTTGACAGTGAAGGCCACGGACGACCCCTCGGAGGGGATGGGGGTGGGAGGCTTCTCGGGGTCACACAGCAGACCCTCTGATGGATGGATGTGACAGACAGACAGAATACACAAACCATGCCATGTGTGGTGGGCCCTTGTCTGACTTGGTGTGTGTTTGTGGGTGTCATCCCATCCAACCATACTCGATAGGAAGTGCACGAGGTGCGGTTTGTCCCTGGGGTCCTCTGTGGGCAGCGGGTTGCGGGGGTGCGGCAGCGTGATCATGCAGCCAACCGTATCGCCCACACCTGCACACATGGACGCACACATTCACATACACACGCTCTCTCTCACTGTGTGTGTGCGTGTAGTCAGCTAGCTGACCGAATGGCTCAGCATAGTCGTTGGTCCGGCCGTTCTGGACCACCCGGCCATCGCAGTCGCGAATGCAGTACCCTAATGACATCACAGACACACATACGGACGGACCACAGCACACGTGAGCGATGGGTGTGGGTGGGCGTGGCGCTGTGTGGCGGCTGTCTTACAGACCAAAGGCATTCATGCCCGCGGGGAAGTCCCATCTCGTGTAACGACACGCCCAACCAATACTGCGAACCGAACCGACACTCACAGGGATGGATGGATGGATCCTTTCTTCCATGCGTGTGCCTACCGTGCGTGTGGCCCACCACACTCGTGTTTGTGTTTGGGGAATGGGTGTGCCCTCGGTGGCGGCTCCACCGTGGCCTCGAAATACCAGCTACCGTGGTCACTGCCGTGACTGGCCATCACCGTTCGATACCCCTGGTCAGTCGGTCGATCGATGCGATGCACAACACACACCAACAGTGTGGTGTGCACATCGGCTCTGGCCTGCCGTGTACCTTTTCGCCCGTGGCGGTGAGTCTATCTGGCGAGAGGCTGATCTTCTTGTCACGGTACTGAACCGATAGAACCAACGCTCGAAAGTCGTCTGCACACACACACACACACACACACAGAGAGAGAGAGAGAGATGAATGCCAGCACGTCCCTCCCTTTTTTGGCCTCCTCCACTGCCCATACCCGATAGAAGCGGCTCTGCCTTTCGCTTCACCCCTTTCTGCAGACGGTCAAGACACAAACCAAAGGCCGCATCCATCAGAATGCAGTGGATCTCTCCGTTCGTCCATCACCTCCCCTCTCCCTCCCCCTCGCTCACCATGAAGTGATTGTTGCGGCCCTTCTTGTTCAGCTTCCTCAACAAGGCCTGCTCGGACGACCGCTTGTTCTTGCTCGACCCGCCACTGGCACCGCCCACCGGGCCCCCGGCCTTCCCCCCGCCCCCCTTCTTGCCGTACGGCGCCCTAGACCCACCCAACTCTGCTGGCTCGGCTGCTGCTGCATGATCATCTCTGCTGCGATCGGATCTTGATCGAGATGCCCTCGTCTGGACCCCTTCCCGAGTATGGCGATGCTTGGGCACCTCTCCTGCCGCCTCGTGTGCGTGTAGGGGAGACATGTGGGCGTCATCGTCCTTGTCCTGGGGCGTCTTTGCATTCACCCCACTGGTGGCGTCGGTGGACTGCTCAGACTTGTCCTCCTCCTTGCATGACGGCTTGCTCGCGTCCAACGGCGGCAGGAGGGGCGCCGGCAGCGTCCGCTCCGTTTCCACCGTCATGAGTGGGTGGTGAGGGCGACTACCAGGGCATTCAGACGCTCGAGGGCATCAAGGCTGCACGCTACTGACGCGATGGCGAGGCCGGAGAAGAGAGGTCAGCTGAGGAAAAGCAAGCTCGGCGAACTGGATGCAGGGAGGGCGGAAAGCAAAAAAGCAAACGAGGGCAGCAAGGGGATGTCCTGGCACTCCTGGATGATCCGTCCTTGCCGAACCTTTCTTCCCTCTGGGCATCTCAGCTCGCAAGCTCGCACCGAAGGAGGAGGAAGAAAAAGGAGATCTGGTGCAGGTGTGCGCGGCAGATGATGGTGAATATGTGAGAGTTTTGATGGCGTTACCCCGCGGCAAGGTCTTTGTCGCCTTGCTGAGTGTGGCTACTGTTGTGTGGCTGTGCGGCCTGTTCGTCCTTCCCGACGGCCATGCGAGGTTCCTATGGAGAGTGGTAAGCGGCAACACGCCCATATGCATGGTGCGGCGACGCATCTGCGATTATCTTGGTTGTATTCTGTCCGTCGGCTCAGTCTCCCCTTTATGTGGTGATGCTGTTCGGGACCTACTCGTTAGCCTGCATTGGGTGGGGCCTCCTGACCTTCTCTGAATGCCCCGAGGCGGCAAAGGAACTCGAACAGGTAGGCACGTGCGGGCAGGAGGGACCCCCGCCCGGCACCCACGGCGCTGCGTGGTCTGCTGTGTGTGCCTGTGGTGTGTTTTGTGCGTGGCTGCAGCAAGTGAAGGAGGCGTGCGATGACTTGGCCAAGAAGGGCATGCGGCTGAATCTTGCCCACTCATGACCTCCGTTCGCGGATCTCTACTCAGGGGGCGCTTCTTGCTCTTGGCCTCTTCGGTGGCGGCTGAGCTGCTGTGGCGGGAGCGCGTGGTGCGCTGCCTCGGATACGTGGTGGTCTGGGCAGCACCTTTCGTGGACTGGGCGGCTCGGTCATCACCGTTGCCGCACTTGTGGCGCGCATCGAACCGACCGAGGCTGTCGGCGAGTGTAGACGAGGCATCGACAACCGATTGCTCTGTCGGGGATGATGAAGTTGCGCTGAGCTGCAGCCGACACAACTTCTGGGTGATGTGTGGGCTGCTGGGACCGAGTGACACCATCGCAGCTCCCCATGTGATATATCTGGGTCACTCTCGGTCGGACGGGCGGTTCTCTTCGCCACCAGAGAGGCCGGTTGTCAGCTGGTGGACGACTACTCGGGTAGACCTACTCGGTCGGTCCTCAGCTCTGCGATCGGTGCCCAACAGCTGAGGCGATTCGGAGGGGTCTGCGTTGTGGAGTCCGTCTGGCATTTTGTGTGTGTGTGCGTGTATATTAGTGAGATGGATTCATGTGTGAACAAGGTGTCCAATTAAGTGTGTGTGGCATCTTGACCGCATCCATGACGTTCGCTCGCCGAATGTCGACCCAATGCACTCATCTCATCTCACCCACCACCATTCCTGCAAACCAAACCGGTCACACATCCATCCATCGGTCATCCATCCAGGCAGTGGGAGACGTCATCGCAGCACATCATGAACATATGACCCCCACCGAGTTGGCCACGAATGTATGCAGCCAGCCAGCTAGCTACCATCGCCCCCCTCCCAGCCAGCCAGCCATGATCCACGCTTGCATGCCAAGGGCACGAAAAATGCCACGCCGCCAATTAAATCCGTCCCACCCCTCCCCTCTGCCTGCCTGCCTGCCTGCCCCACCCGCCCCAGCTCATCCATCCATCTACCATGTTCCTCCCCTACGTACGTCGATGGATTACGGCTTGAAAGGGTGGTGCTTTCCGCCTCGCCCGCCACCTCTACTGCCGCCACCGCCCCTCCTCACATTATCTTGTCCGGTGATGTGCCGCCGCACGGCCATGGCCGCGTCGCTCTCCTCTGCGTTGGAGACCGGGTAGGCACTGCCCCTGTTGGTGTTGGTGTTGGTGTTCTGGTTGTTTGTGCGTTCCTCGTCGCTGGCCTCCTCGTGAAGCACGCCCAGCTGTGAGGCGAGGCTCTTCTTGGGCTGGGTGGGGTGGACCTGGGGCACTAAGCCACCCTGCCAGCCCACCGACACACGAGAGAGTCTCGACATGGGGGTAGCGCTGTGCCGTGCTGTGCTGTGGTGCGTCCGTTGGTTGCCGCCGTACCTACCTGTGGTGCAGTGGTGCTTCGGCGTGGCTGGGAGAGGTCGAGTGCCGAAAACATGCCCGCCGATTGAGCTGATGAATAGAGAGAGACACACATGGACAAAAGAGGATGGGTGTGGGATGGGGTGGGGTGGGTGTCTCCCACCATTCCCCGCCTAGCTACCGGATGGGGCCGGCCGAGCGGCGGCAGTGGGCGGCGCATTGTGGTACATGACGTTGAGTGCCGGCCTCGGCTGCACGCCATGCAGAACAGGACGGTACGACAACGCTGGACTAGGCCCAGGGCTGACAAACGAAACACAAACCGCACACATACACACACACACGTCCCCCAGCCCGTTGGATCACCTTTCCCTCCCTCCCCATCATCCATTTGCTCACATGATGTGCTGCTGTCGGTGTGTGATCATGGGGCTGTTGGGCAGCATGGCCAAAGGCACCTGTCCACTACTGCCCATGGTCACCGGCGGCCCCCCATAGGTCATCTGGCGTGGCGTGGTGATGGTGCTCTGGGGCGGCCCACAGATGGCCGCCGGTGCCGGTGCCGGTGCGTGTGTGGGTGGCGGGATGAACGAGAAATGGCCTCGGTGCACCACCCCGGGCAACGCCTGACAGACATCAAACAGACAGTGGAGTGCGTTCGTGTGTTGTTTCTTTGTCGGCCGACGTGCGCACCGCACCCTGTGTTGAATTTGTGGCGTGCCGGTGATCGAGTGTGTGTATGGCATCTGTGGGCGGGATGGGGCGAGTGCTGCGACGGATGACGACAGGGGCAGGGTGGCCTCGTCCATCCGCCGGTAGGTCAACAGGGGCGGCTCCTGAGGCTGCATACGGCCCCCACACGCATCAACGCATCCATCCCACCCAATCAGCCGAGAGGTGAGATGCCCGTGTGTGAGCTGAGCCTTACTTACCCGCACATATAGCTGGGGCAGCTTGTCTACGAGGGCCTTGAGCGTCTCCTGCGCAGGCACGGACACCGACCGAGACACACAAACATGGCCACACCACACCCACGTTCACATAGAGGCTCGATCGCATGTCTGACCTGTGTGTCGGTGAGGGCCTTGTTGTCCTTGGTGTCCTCCTCCTTCTTGTCGTCCTTCTTGTTCCCACGGGTCGCCTGCACATAAACGCAGCACAACACGACCTCCCTGGATGCATTGATGTGTGAGCATTGGTCCTCGGTATTCCGACTTATCGGTATTGGTTATCCGGCTTATCGGTATGGTGGTTACCCTGTCGAGCTGAGCGATGAGGTTGCAGAGGGCGTCGCGCATCTGGTTGATCTCCTCCTCCTTGCCCTCCAATATCGAATGCGACTTGTGCAGCTCCTGACGCAACGAGGCGTTCTCATGCCTACACACACACACAGAGGAATAATCGATGCATCATGGGTCCTTTCCTCCCTCGGCATTGAGCCGTGCGTGGCAGCTTACTTGGCGGCCTTGAGTTGCTGCTGTGCCTTGCGCAGTGTGTTGGCGTTGTACGCCGTGTGGCTGTGGGTGTGGGTGTGGTGCAGACGGGACGTGCTGCTGCTCTGCAGCGACAGGCCCACGTCCTCTCCTAATCCTCCAGTGGGCGGCGATGCTACGGGTGGTGTCTCGGCCAGCCCCACATTGCCCCCACCTCGGCCGCCCACAGCACGCAACACTGGCTCAGGGCCATGCTGCTCAGAGAGAGAGAGGGCACATGCATGTTGATCATTCCAGCTCAGTGCACTAACCATGAGGTCGGCCGCTCCATCGTCTATGTCGTCATGCTGCTGGGGTAGCCTGTCCCTCTTGTCTGGCGATGGCGCCTCCACCACACGCCTCACACGGCCCCCCACACTCGTCCCCCCTCGCACACCCCCACCGCCCCTGTGCTGCTGCTGATGCATAGTCGACACACCCGCGCCCATACCGCGGCCCCTGCCGGTGGTGCCCGCGCCACGCTTGGCCTGGCCGTCCTTGCCGCGCGTCAGCGATAGCTTTGGGTTTGTGAGTGTCTCGATGTCGGCGTGTGCAGTCCGGGGGACACGTGGGGCTGCGGGTGGGCTGTGGGATGTGTCGTTGTCCGGCGAGGAGAGGTCTTGTTGGTCCAGGGGGAGGTGGTGGCGCTGGAGGGCCTTGCGGTAGCTGCTGCACTGCACCGTCAACTTGGCGATCTGACCGTTGGAACGACTGAAGGAGGAAGAAGAGGAGAAGAGAAAAGACACAATACCGGTTTTTATGGATTGTGAAGGGGGGGGAGGGGGCATCTGCTGACCGTAGGTCCTCTTGCAGCTTGTTACGCTCCTAAAAACAGTAAGCGGTGGATGGCAGCTAGAAAAGACCTGCACCTCTTGTGTGTGGAGAGGTGTGTGCATACCCACCTCTATCAGCGACCCCGCGATGTGCTCCTGCTCCAGCATGCGACCCTCCAACACAGCCATCTGACATACACACACACACATCCATCCATCCATCCCCCCTCTCGCCGCCCACCCGCCCCCATCGCTGGCCGGGGACGGCCTACCTGCTTCTTCATCTCCTCGTTCCTCTTGATAGTGGTCTCGAGGCGCGCCATCTCCAGGCTCTCCGCCCCGCCGTCAGAATCGCTGCCGTTAACGACCATACCCATGCCACCAACACCACCCCCGGCCCGTGCGGCAGTGGCCTTGCGCAGCTGGTCCTGGAGGTCGGCTGCCTCTGCCTTGAGGTGCTCGATGGTGGCCAGCAGGTCGCCACGCTTTCGCTCTGAGGCCTGCATGCGAAGGAGAGAGAGGGGAGAGGGGAGAGGGGGTGTTGATGTTGGGTGGATGTGTGTGTTTGTTGAGTAGTACTGTACTTGTGCGGCGTCCATAGCGACTTGTTTGGCGGACTGGAGGACGGCTCGCTCGTCGTGCAGCTGCCTGATGGACAGACATACAGATGGACAGAGACGAGACAGCACACCGAGAGGAAGAGGAGACACATACACACATGACATGGAGGGCAGTGACGTGACACCGGGAGCGGCGCCACAGACAGACAGACAGATAGGCTTACTTGATGAGTTGTTCGTGTTCGTTTCTGGCCATCTTGCCCGACTCAAGGGCCTCCCTGAGCTCATGCTGACGCCACCACATACACGTACAATGCCAAATGGGTTGGGTTTGTGTGACGGTGCTCTGTGTGTGTGTGTGTGTGTTGTGTTGTCTTCTCGGCCTTGCAATCCGACCTCCAGGGATTGGTTCTGGTGTGAGAGTGTCTCGACCTGGCTGAGGGCCTCCTCGAGTGTGCGGTGGAACTGCGCGTCCTCCGCCTCACGCAAACGCTGATCGAATGGCATGGAAATGGTGTGAGACAAATGGATGGATGGATGGTCTGGTGCATGCATGCCATGGATCTATTTTACCTCTCGCTCTTCGAGCAGGTTGATGGTGTTCTCTTTAAGCTGACGATCGGCCTCAGCTGCCATAAGGTCCTATCGTATCAGACGCACATAGAGGCACACAGACACAGAGATGGCGTCACGTCATCTCTTGTTGCATTTGTGTGTGTGCGGTGACTGACTGACCACGTGTGCCCTCTCGGTCTGCCTGTGCCGCATCTGCACGGCGGCGTGTGCCCGCATCGCGTAGAAGGCCACCTCCACCTGCATGGTTTGTGTGCAGAATTGATGGATGGACATGCCATGCCATGCGTGTGTGTTGACTTGACGTGTGTTGGTGCTCGCTTAGCTTAGCTCACCAGAGTGGATGAAGGGGACCGGCCGTGCAGCGCCTGGCGACGACTCATCAACCCACTCAATCGCAACGCACCCACACACCTACGAAACAACATAACACAGACGCATTCACTCCCACCCCCCACCCCCTCACACACATACCTGAATTGCTCTCTAACGTCCCACCCACTATCTGTCTGTGCGGCTGTGTCCTCGGTCTCCCTCTCCTCGGTGGCTGTAGTCACATCGCTGGTCTCAGCTTTCACAAACACGCCCATCGCCGTCCCGCGCGGCGGGCCGTCGGTCTGGCAGCCGAGGTCGTCCATCGGTGAGGGCGGCGGCCTGGCGTGCTGCCAGCACTGCAGGGCACGGCTCAGTTGCAGTCTGGCGTGGGCTACCACCTTCTCACGACTGCATGAGGGAGGGAGAGGGAAGGGGGAATGGCTGATGTGCATTGTATTGGATTGTGTGGTGGGTGTGGTGTTTTGATGTGATTGCGTACATGCATTGTGCGGCTAGCATGCGCTGTGTGGTGTCGACGGCGTACTGGCCCCTCTCCTTGGTGCCCTCCAGCTCGTCCTCCATACGCTAGGAACAGAGACAGACAGACAGACAGACAGAAAAGAGCCGAGCCACACACGCGACGCGCGGAAGAGTGTGTGTGTGCAGCTAAAGTATATGTGGGAGCGGCGATGCGATGTGAATACCTTACCTTGAGGTCCTTTTCCGCCCTGGCGATGCTCACATTGGCCCTCAAGGCACCAAACACTTCACGAGACTGCACACAGTGCACCAGTACCCCCGCTCAGCTCCCCTGCTGTGCGTTCGCTTCGCTCACAGCGTTGGTACTTTACACACATACCGACCGCATGGTGTGTCTGTTTGCGTGTGATCCTTGTGGCGAGGAAGCTCAGCCGCTCCTCCTCACGGCCGTGGGCCACCCGCAGCCGCTGCTCCAGGTGACTCACCTGACGCGACACAACACCCTACCAATTAATGGAATGCATTCACTCTCAGCTGGCCAGCACACAGCAACACCCACCCACCACTCATCTCTCTGGTGGTCATGTCATGTACCTTTTCCTGCAGCTCGGGAACGGGTGTGGCGTCGTGAGTGGTGGACGGGGAGGTGCGAGCAGCCGCCAGCTGAGAGGGTGGTGTACAGCGGGAGCAGCGGCAGAGGGAGAGAAGAGGGTTCTTTGTCCTCCCCCTCCCCCCTCTCGTTGATCTATTACCTCTCGTTGCAGTTTTTCGCATCTTGTGTTGTCCCGCCAGATGACAAAGCAGCTCCGCACGCGGCCGCACAACTGATGAGCGACAGACAGATGGGAGATGACGACACACACAGGCACAGCACATGTCTGCCTGCGCTCTCCCTGTCAGTCCGTCCGTCCGCACCTCATTGGCGTGTATGTTATCGAGCAGCTTGGGCAGCATGTCGGCCTGGCCATCCTGAACAGTGCAGTAGTGGAGTGGAGTGAGCCATGCACATGAACACGGCCATAGGGGCCTCCATCATTGCCTTCCAGCCACCCACCCGTATCTTCTGTAGTCGTTCGTGAGCCGCCTGCAGGTCCTGACCCTGCTCTGTGATCCTCTCCTGCACACACACACATACATACAAAGCGGCCTGCAACTTGACGTTGGATGGGCGGGGCGGGGTGGGGTGTACACCTGCAGGTCTTCTATTGTGTCGTTGGCCACCGTGAGCTGGTGCTTGATCTCCACCAGCTCACTCGCAGCACGACAACGCTCCTGATAAATAGGAGGGGGAGGCGGGAAGGGGGGAGGGAGACCACGGCTCACAGCACAGCGACACACAGCCATCGTTGCCCCGCCCTGTCCGTGCATACTGACCGATTCTGCGAGCAGCTCCTTGGCCTTGAGCTCATTTCTCGTGCGATAGAGCTGCAAGCAAACAAGCAGAGGGTACTTGCGTCCCACCACTTCTCTGTTTCCCCACATCTCCTTTCCCCTCACTTCGCTGAGTATCTCGGCCGCGTTTTCCTCTATGTTCTGCTGTTGGCCCCCACCATCCTCCTGGCTGCCATCTCCAGCACCGAGGGAGCCGAAGGGCCCGCCACGGATGATGCGGCGACTCCCAAGACCACTACTTCCCGCGCTAAGACCGCAACCAGACCCCTGCACCCGACAGGAACGCATCACAACACAGTAGGGTGCACACAGGCAATGGTGCCCTGTCCTCCTGTGTGTCTTTCTCACCGCTCCGCCCGACCCCTTCCGCACGTTAAACACTCTCCCAGAGGGACTCGCCGCACCCATCCCCATGCCCATGCCCATGCCCACGCCAGCCCCCACTCCAATCCCCGGCCCAACGCCGATGGCATGCGGCTTGGTGTGTCGTAGTCTGTGGTGTATGTCTGTGCGTGTGTGGCTGTGCCCCGAGGCGAATGAAGCGGCGTCGACGTCGATGAGTCGGAGGTTGGGGGAGGACGGGTTGAGCGAGTGCAGCGGGCTGGTCGCCGGCAGACGACGAATCGTCACCTGACAAACACACACGCCGCTAGATGGCATGAGGGATGGAGGGAGGGTGGGGTGGTTCCGTACGTACGTTGACTTTGGATGCGGTGATTTCGAGCTGCTCCACCTCTTTGCCGTTGGACTCGAAGAAACGGAGAGCCTGAAGGAAGGAAAGGCAGCGGGAGAGATCCACAGCATCCACACAGATATGGACGGACGGGATGGTCGCCCCGCCCGCCCTTACGCACCTCCTGCATGGTGATGTGTGCGATAGGATTCGACCCTGCAGTGGGATCCTCCGCAGCGCCAGCTCCTGCCGGACGGTCCACGGCGTACCTGCCATCATCATCACAGCCGCCATGCAGATTTCTATCCATCTATCCACCCATTTCCCGTCCATCTCACCTGTATGTGCGATTGTCGTCGTTGCCGAAGTGTTTGAGCAGTATGCAGGGGTAGAAGAGCTGCCGCTTGAGAGTGCGCTCCCCGTTGTCGAACTGCCACGCGCTGGGGGCGGTGTACAGGCACAGTGAGAGGACGGTGTCGTCATCGACCTCGAACCGCTGGTTGACGCATGGGAACTCCTTGATGGGCACCGTCACCTCCTTGTTGTCGCTCAGCGTCCCGAAGTACTTGAGCGGTGGGGAGGAGGAGGAAGAAGACGATGACTCGGAGTCGCCCGTCAGCGGAGTCAGCCCGGTGGGCTTCATCACCGTCACTAAGATGCTCTCCATCGTGAGAAGATGCAGGCGGGAGGCGCCGGAAAGTCAGATCTGAGGCAGATGATGGAGATCACTCCATCAAGTGATCTTCATCGTCAGGAAATGTCCAACAGCTACCTTTCCTCGCCCCGCCATATCGCTTCCTTCAGTTGGCCATTCTTTTGGCCATTTTTCGGGTCCGAGCCAAACCTTTCTCTGAAGCTCGCACTCCTTGGTCAGGAAAAGAGGCCCGTCTCGTGCCTGAGGACGCTCGCCATGCTGAAGGGGAGCTGAGAGATCTTCAGATCTGAGCAACGGCGGCTTGAAGCGCACGCCAAGAGACGTCCCATCGGTGTCATCAGAAGCACGTCCTCTGTGTCGTCCGCTATGCCTCACCGCACCCTCGCGTCTGCCCAAGACGGCCCTCCGCCGCCGATGCCTCACACTGTCGACGTCGTCATTGTGGGGACAAGCGTCACTGGGTTGACCTTGGCTATTGACTTGAAGAGGAGGGGGATGGATTACGTCATGATATCGTCGTCTGGGCACGAGAAGCAGAGGAAGGCATCCGGCAGGGGGGAGGGCGAAGAGGCGGAGGAATGGTGAGAATCACCGACGATTGCTACGAGTAACTGTGTATTGGTGGTCCTGTGTGTGGTCAGTTATGGCACCATGGTGCTGCAGAACCGCACCCTCGAGGCCTTCGAAGGTGACCGAGCAAGCGATGCAAGACGCAGGAATCTCTGTGTGCGCACTCCTCTGACTTTTTGCTTGTGTGTGTCAGATTTGGGTCTAATCGATGAGGTCCTGAAAGCTGGTCAAGTGCTCAACGGCGACCGCTATTATGTCGACGGCGAAGTGGCCGTCGACTGGGAGTATGACACGACCACCCTCAAGACCCACTACCCACACCCGATCAAGCTGGATCAGAAGCACCTCATCGCCATCATGCACCGACACATCGACCCCCACCGCATCAGGGCCGTCGAGATGGTCAGGCTCGTCGACAACACCGATGACGGGACGACCATCGTGTGGCAGGACAGACAGCAGGAGGGCAAGGAGGGCAAACTCAAAGCCAGGTGGGCTCCATGGCCTGGCCATGCAGGATGGCAGATCCATGCGGCTGGCTGTTGTGTTGGCGGCTGTGTTTGTCAGGTATCTTGTTGGGTGTGACGGCGCCACATCGCTCGTGAGGCGGTTGGCGGGTATACCGTGCCACGAGAAGGTGGAGTCCAGCAAGTTCATCATGGCAGACGCCAAGCTGGTGAGAAAGATGAGGGTGAGAAGACGTACCAGGTCGTCTGTGCATCTCTTTCTGTCTGTCTGTTTGTGTGTGTGTGTTTGTGTGTGTGTGTGCAGCACTGGAGCATTCCTCCGCATCTGAACATGTGCTTCCTTCTCCTCTCCAAGGGCTATGCCGTGTGCGCCCACCTGATGCTGGACGACCACTGGCGTCTCACCGTCGTCCACAGGCACCGGGACAAACTCCACATCGACCCCGAATGGTTTAAACTGCCCAGGTAGGTGCACTGCACACCCAAACCCACACCACAACCACGAGCACACCAATCCGTCGACGCATGCACATTATCATGTTTTCTCTCATCTCACGCAGCCATCTGCCCCACCATGCCGACGTGACCCGCGGCAGCGCCACGAGCAGCACGGCCCCCACTCTGCCCAGCGACCAAGGCAGCGAGGGCAAGACTGACGTCACCACGGCCACCTTCCCGGAGCTCAAGAGGTACGAGCGCATCGGCAGGGAGGCCGACGAGAGAGACGAGGGCGTGGCCGGCATCAAGGAGGAGGAGCTGGTCTACGCAAAGCCCACACACAAGGAGAGTGTGGATGTGGTGGATCTCGATGAGGCGCTGCCTGGCAAACAGGAGCTGGAGAGAATCCTGCAGACGGTGAGCAGGGCTGTCCGGCCCAGAGTGTGGCGCCATACACTCACTGGTTTCGTCGGTGCTTGTGTGTTCTGGGTCGTCAGGTTGTGGCTGACACCCGTGTGGTTGAGCTGTTTTGGGTGCATGCTGCCCCCATTGTGTCTCGGTGTGCGTCGACATTCCAGAAGAGCTCCGTCATTCTGTGTGGCGAGGCGGCGACGGTCAACCATCCCTTCTTCTACCAAGGCATGAATAGCGGCGTGCAGGTAGGTGAAAGCCAGTACACCTCCTCCATTTGGGTAGGTAGAGCGACCCATCTTCTTCTTTCTGTTGTGGCCTGCCTGTAGGACTCCCTGAACTTGGGTTGGAAGTTGGCTCGCGTCATCAAGGGTGGCGCCTATCCTGTGGTGATCGACACATACGACGAGGAGAGACGACCACTCAACGGTAAAGAGCGGCGGACAGGCAGGCAACACTGGCATCACTCGCTTGGATCTGCCTTTGATGTTCTCTCAGCGTCCATGAAGCGCCTGGCGACCATCCCAGGCCACCAAATTGCTGAAGGAAGTGAGAAGGGCAACAAACAGGGCAAACGCCCGTGTTCTGGTCTGCTCATGTCCATTCTCTGTCCCCTCGTCTGTCTGAGCATGCAGATTTGTGGGTGAATTGGTCGCTTCAGCACATCGCGCCCTGGGGTTTGAACAAGAAAGGCTGGTTCAACCAGATGTTCACCCGACAAGTCAGCCAGATCGGCCAACGATACCCCACCAACACCAGGCTGACCGGCAAGAAGAACATCCGTTGCGGACTACAGCCGGGCGAAAGATGCCCGGACGCCATACTCGCACACGTACAAACCACCACCAAACCACCACCAAACCACAGAAGCCTGAGAAGGTGCGTGATCGATCGCTCTCCTCGTGTGCGGCTGTGTGTGGGTGTTAGTTCGACGGGCGTGACACGTTCACCTTCACGAGGCTGCACAAGATCCTCGCCGGCCCCCACCACACACTCATCTGCACTCTCCGCCTCCCCACATCGCCCCTCTCGACCGATAAGGGCTCCCACGGCACCCCGAGCGGCACACCGGCGTCATCACTCAAGGCAGGGGAGAGCACCAAGGACACAGAGGAGGGCGCGAAGAGGCCCCGGCCGCTGGCCTTGGGTCTCGCCAACACCTACCTGGGCCGATTCCTGCCGCGGTCATGGTGTGAGGCCGCTGCTTACCGCGAGGAGCATGAGGAGGGAGGGGAGATGCATGAGGTCCACAAGAAGGCGCCCGTGGATGTGCCGATCGAAGGTGGGGAACGGTCGAGGAGATAGATGCACATAGGGAGTGGATGAGTGGATGTCCTCCTGTGTACCTTTGTTTGTCGTGCAGAGGCGAATGCAGCCATGCTGGCTGATACCGTCAAGTTTGGTGCTCACGTCCAGCGGCTGGTGGGCGCACCATCGAGCACTCCATGGGGAGGCGTCAGAGTCATGTTTGTCTTCACAACCGGCAGGTACGACACCAACACACGACAAGCTGGACAGTGATCTCATGCATCAACCGTTCTCTGTCTCGCTGTGTACAGGCCCAGCATCCGTCCCCCGCTGCCGCCCGTCAAACACCACGAGCCCGACACGACCCAGACAGTGGCCAGTGCGGCTGGGGGCAAGGGCCTGCAGCTGCCCATCGGTCAACAGCCAGCGGGGGCTGCCTACCGCCTGCAGGCGCAGGAATGCCTCAACTTCCTCAATGACGCATTCGCAACAACCACAAGGTGAGACGAGAAGGCCGGACGCGCTTTCGTCTGTGTGGGTGTTCATTTTCCGTGTGATGTATGCAGGAGTTCTGACAAGGAGAACGCCCTGTGGATTGGCTGGGACCCCGAAGGACAGGTCAGCCACCAGCGTCGATGTACTGTCAGTCCATCTCATCCCCTCTGCTCTCTCCTTCCCCCTGTAGGTTGCGACTCGTTTCAAGTACGGGCTGGACCCCAAGCCGAGCGGGGGGTTTCTCTCTGGTTGGGGGAGCCACCTCCAGCCGTGGCACGAGGAGCATGAGGATGAAGACGAAGAGGAGGAGTCAGTGGTCGAGGAGGAGTCGCTCGAGGACATGATCCAGCGAGTCATCGGCAAACACTACGGCGCGTTCACCGTCGTCAGACCCGATGGATTCGTCAGCCACAATGGTTGGTGAAAGAAACGTGCGGCGACCTCGGTGTGTCTCATATCTTGTCGCTTTGTTTCTCCCGTGTCTGTACCATGCGCATGGCTGCAGGCTACTTGAGCGATGTGGGTGCGCGTGAGGAGTGTCTCGAGTACATGCGGCGGTACATGAACCGGAATGTAGTCGAGAGTCAGTGAGTGACCGCTGTGCTGTATTGATTGCACACGTACATTACATGCAGTCAGTTGTATTGTCATCGGATACATACATACATACATACATGCACATGCACACGCCCACCGAGAGTGTCCGTACGTCCTTTATAGGTCATTTGTTCCATTATTACGCGGGTCGTAGGCCTGTCAATCAGCCATCAGTGTTACATCGCATCTTTTTGGACGAAATCTGCATGGGTCTCATCGTAGTGAGTGAATGCGTTACCGTGTGGTGGGCCAGGTAGTGACTCAGCGAGTGGGTGAATGGTGTTTCGAGTACAGGCAGCGCAGCTGGGGCGTCTAGGACGGCATCTTTTCGTTTGTACGCGCATCGTCCGTGACGACATGTCGTCCTTGCAGCCATCTCTTCCTCTCTGTGTGTGGTAGTATAATGGCAGCTAGCTGGATGGGCTCGCTGGTGTGTGTTCAGGTATGGGGTGGATGGGATCTCATTCCACACGGGGAGGGCGAGGGATGCACGTGTCTCTGTTGTGCTGTGCGTGGTTTCGTTGACAATCCTGGGACTTTTCTTGCGGTCTTGTGGGTGGTCAGTCTGGCAAGACAATAGCGAGACCCGCCAGAAGCGGCCGCCACGGGGTCACGAGAAAAGTGCCAATACGGCTTGTATTTTCTCTGTTGAAAGTGTCGCGCTTAGATGAATCCGTGCTTCGCTTCATGAGCTGCTGCTCGCCACGTGCTGTTACTTTGGTGTTTAATTGAGGGGCGGTGCGAGGCACACGTGGATGACAGACATTGGTCTCAAAGCGCAATGGCTGCGCTCTCTTCGTCTCTTGGCTGCGCTCCTGCGTGCAGGCAGCGGGGGGAATTGGCGAGATCTGAGACGGAAACCCTGATTTACCTTTTTAATTGATCGTTCAATCCCCCTCTCACAGCAGCAGCAGCACAGCAGCACGGGAGCCACGCCGCCGAAGTCCTGTTCCATATGCCGCCTTTCGTCGATCTGCGCGAGTTCCGGCCGCTGATCCACCACATCTGGCTGTACATGGTCCAGGATGTGGTGTCCCTGTGTGTGTGGTTTTGATGTTTTCCCTCATGCAGCGCCCGGCCCCCATCATCAGCACAACCGCGGCCCAACTCATCATCATCATCATCAGCAGCAGCAGCAGCAGCAGCAGCACGAGAGCGCCGCCGAAGCCCTCATCGATATGCCGCATTTTGTCGATCTGCGCGGGTTCCGGCCGCGGAAGGCCCATGTGATGAAGTGGGTGCAGATGGTCAAGGCGTGGACGGCAGCTCTCTGTGATGCGCGCAATCTAGGCGAGCTGCAGAAATTCCTGGTGACCATGAAAACGGCGGTCGCGCAGCTGGAGGCCGACAACGAGGTAGGCAGGATGATCCCCGGCGAGACCGAGCTCTTCGGTTGCATGACGGAGGCGAAGGTAGGTGTAAGAATAGGGGGGAGAGAGTCGGGGAGAATGGTGAAGAGAGGATCTGCCGGGCGGTCAGTCCCGGATAAAGGATTAAGTCAATGCAACGTAAGGTC